TCCACTGCTGGAGGAAGAGAAGGCGCCCGGGGGCGACCCGCGCGCTCTGTCCCCCGCCATGTGCTCCGTGAACGAGGAGGGCAGCACGGACCCGTTGGTAGCCCGGTGCCGGCAGCTGGAGGAGACCATGGAGCAGCTGCACCGGGAGAACAAGAGTCTCAAGAGCAAAGTGCCTCGCTACAACGCGCTCTGCAGCCTCTTCCACTGCTGGAGGAAGAGAAGGCGCCCGGGGGCGACCCGCGCGCTCTGTCCCCCGCCATGTGCTCCGTGAACGAGGAGGGCAGCACGGACCCGTTGGTAGCCCGGTGCCGGCAGCTGGAGGAGACCATGGAGCAGCTGCACCGGGAGAACAAGAGTCTCAAGAGCAAAGTGCCTCGCTACAACGCGCTCTGCAGCCTCTACCACGAATCCGGGCAGCAGCTGAAGCACCTTGAACTGCAGCTCTCGGCCAAGGAGGCGATGATCGGGGAGCTGAAGGCGAGCTTGGCCAAGTACCAGGCTGCCCAACTGGGACCAGCTCAGGAAAAGGAACCGCTGGGGGGGAAGTTAGTTGAGCCTGCTAAGTCGCTGGTGGAAAGTCTAATAGATCAGCTTGGCCAAATGCAGCAGCAGCTTAAAGAGAGCGAGAGAGTTTCAGCACAAAAAGTGGAAACGCTGAGCCAGGTAAAAACACGAATGTACCAAAATAACATTTGTATTTAGAGATAAGTGGACCTTCCCCGGTAGGCTCTCGCAAAGAAAAGGCTGAACTTTGTCTTCAAAATGTTGCATACTTGTGAACCAGAACAGTTTTAGCCCCAGTTAATGTGAAAAGGTTATTTTGAGTGAAGGATAGAATTTTCAGCCAGGAGTGCCTAAAGTTGGAATGTCATCGTGAGTATAGTATAAAATACTTCAGTTCAGATTCATTTATTTAGGGCCCTAATTTTGGATACTCTACATTGAAAATTTGGTTTAGATGATTTATCCAAGGTCTTATAGCAAGCTGGTGAAGGGGCTTGGATTAGACCCCAGAAGTAGTTTGCCAAATCGGTGACCACTGAGTAACCTGCCTTCTTCAAATACTTTACAAAACAACACCATTAATATAACCAATCTGTGATCATGATGCACTTCAGGATACTAACTGAATTGTGGGAACATGTAGTGTTAAGCAAAAAGGAGTTGCCAGATATGTCTGATATAGCTAATGCGGTATTTTACATTGAAATCGAATTAGTACTTTTCATGCTCCTGTAATGAGATGTACAGTTTGCACTTTAACTACTGTACATGGTTATGTAATTTGGCTAGTTTACATAAGAAGATTATTGGAAAAGATGAGCTAAAATCAACTTGAAATATCTTATTGAAAGCAATTTCAATACCATAAATCCAGTGTCATCGATTCTTGATTAAAAGGCATTTAAATGGGGGTTTAGTTCTTCCCTTTTCCCCCCTTGTTTGTCTGCTTCTTAAACTGTTTATCACTCTAGCTGTACTCCAGACCTAGCATTTCATTTTTAAGAGTTGCAACTAGCTGGCAATTCCTTGAAAGGAAAAGGGAGGAATTTAAGTTTTCCTCCTTTCTGGTTAAAGAGCTCTTTCTAATCCTCTAGAAGAAGCATTTTTACTCTTAATCAATTTGGATTTTTGTTTTTAAATCTGTCTCTGTAATGAAGTAGTAGTATGGTTGCATGAACCAGAAAATATTGAAAACTGAAACTAGTAGTCTTGTGACAAGTAATCTTTTTACTGGCAATTTTAGAATGTTTCCCAAATGTTAATCTTAGACATGTTTAGGCTTTAAGATCTAATGATCTTACTGTTATATAGTGTGTGACTTGGGATGTGTCTAGGTCTTTACACCCCCCTGCATGATGGTGTCTTGTATTTTTGAAGCAGGGTTATGAAAGTCTTATATAACATTAGCCAACAAAACATAGCTAGAAATAGACCTTTTCTTTAAATGAATTTAAGCCTGTTGAATCATTTTAAAACATTCAGTATCTATATTGGCTTTGATATAGTTGTGGGCTTGTTCTGAATCCCAAATACAGTATTATTCTTTCCCTTACGTACCCAAAGGCACCAACTGTACACTAAATACATGTTAGTATTTCATTTTCTAAATTACTGCTGTTAACATTTAAAATGACAGGTTTTCTGCTGCAGCATGAAAACTGTACTAATAAATATAAACTTTAAGATTAGAAAGAAACATTTTAAACCTAGTCTTAATTGCAATTTATTACAAGGATCTCCAGAGGTAACACATTACACTGTTGCACAGCTAAAAGCCAAGATTATGCCCCTACATGGGTTTTTCTTCCGGAGCTAGGAAACTTAGTTTATGCTCTACTTCTGTTGTATTCGTCCATTGGAGGCCCATGGTTTAATCTTCTGAGGAACTAGCAGGGATATTGCATCATGCCTGTCCACCTCCATTCCGCCATCTCCAAAAAATGAGACAGATTTTGCAAAATGTACTGTGGCTTTGTCTCTACAACCTTCAGTCTGTTCTAGGATTCAGAGCAACTCATGAGTGTGTCTGTACAGTGTGTGGGAGTAAACCTCCCAGTCTTGGTCCACAGGCGTATATCAGGGGTTGTGCTAGTGCTTTAAAAAGAGCTGCACAAAAAGCATTTTTAAGTTGTGGGCTTGAACTGGAGCTTTGGCTCTGAAGCCCACCTCCTTCCTTAGGCTTCAGAGGCTCAGCTACAACTTCAAAGATATTTAAAAGCAGGTTAGATAGATGTCTATCAGGGATGGTTTTGACAAGGTCTACTCAACACGTGGGCCGCATGCAGCCAGTGGTATGGTTTTTGGGTTTATGCGAGGCTCAACACGTGGCCTGTCTGTGGGATCCTTTGAACATAGCCTCCACAACGGCAAGTTAATGTAATGGTCTTCTGCTGATATGTGTTTTAGAAGTTAAATTCCTGGACTGTAATTGCTCATTAAAAGTGCTGTCATATGGGTGGAAATTGGGTAAATATTGCATTTTATTAATATCAGCAGAACTGACCTAAATGGGGTCTCTGTGTTGTGTAGTTTTGCCTTAAGTTTTTCACATGGACAGCCATGAATACAAAGATATTTGCATATATACATTTGCATGTTTATGCAACCATACTTAAATTATGGCCCTCTGCATGCACTGTGAGTATTATTGTGGCCAGCAGGGCTTTCATAGTTGAGTAGCCCTGGTCTAGATGGTACTGGGCCCTGCTGAGAGGGCAGAGGACTGGACTCCATGAACTCTCAAGGTCCATTCCAGTTCTAGTGTTCTATTATTCCTTGATTCAAAGTGCTGATGTTTGTATAGCTGTCTTTTTAGAGCACTAACCTGAACCTCCTTGGCCCAACTCTGAGC